AACCATTTTCTAGAGAATGAAAAGTTGCATAACATATCAAAAACTCACCTTAGACTGGCTTCATTTTAAAAAATGGCAACAAATATACTGAGAAAAATCGACTGTCATCGACTTATTAATTAAGACCTTTTCTGATCATATTGGAATTCACAATCCGAATAAATAGATTATATAGAATAATTCAAATAGCTTATTTTTTTTCACTGATTTTGAAGTTCTATCTTTTAGTATATTGCACGAAAAATTTCTTTGCCTTGTTGAAGCATAATACTAATAAAGATTCCTCGTAGGATTTTTGACTAGTTTTTTTATAATAACTTGCTAGTACTCAGAAGTCGGTATTGGCTAACTTTACTATTGTACATCCAACTGAGCTAAATATTTGGGTTTGATGGTTTTATACTATGCTCTTTCGAATACATATGAAAAAAATCGAAAATCTAAATATTGACCAGTGTCTCGCGTACTGGGACGATGTTCGATCTTCTCATGGACGCTCTTTTAAGAAAAAGATGATTGAATTAATATGAATTTGATAATAATGAATATATAATGTTAAAAAGCATAGTTAACTATTGTATAAATGGAATGATTTGACATATATAAATAGATAAATTTGAAGTATGGATAAAATATTTGTAAAAGATAAAAAAACTAGACAACTATTGACATCTAGGAAAGAATTGTTTTGAGTAGTCTTTATAAATTCTCCAATCAGTATAATATAAAAAAGAATGAGTCAATCAAATGGAATCTACATTATTTTAGTTTTTGTTATCTTGTTCTTTTAAGTGAAAATGGTTGGGGATTATTTTTAATACACATATACGATATTTGATTTTATTCGTTGTTTTTTTGTTGTTATTGCGAAGATACTGGTTTTTATTTTAGTTAAAATAAAAAACAAAAATAATGTCATCAGATAAAGAAACAAAAAAATGTCCATCAGATGAACTTTTAAAATTGGTTGAACTTTGGCTTAAATGGGATCAATGTGAAACAACACGAAAAGAAATCGAACAACTTAAAGTATATTTGTTTTTTGTAAAATATAATTAACAAAAAAATTGTAAAAAAAACTTCCTATATTAAGAATGAATCAAAATGGAATGATTTAGAAGTTCGTTTATTACATCGAATTCAATTTGGTACAGCTGGTCTTCGTGCTAAAATGGGTAGTGGTTTTGCTTTAATGAATGAATTAACTGTTATTCAAGCAACACAAGGTCTTATTCGTCATATGCAATCAATATTTAAAGATAAAAGTGAAACTCTTTCAGTTGTTATTGGTTTTGATGCTCGTCATCAATCGAAAAGATTTGCTTGTTTAACAGCATCTTTATTTGCTCATGAAAAAATTCATGTTTATTTATTTGATTCAACTACTGTTCCAACACCATTTATTCCATTTAGTATTCAAAAATTAAAATGTCAAGCTGGTATTGTTATTACAGCAAGTCATAATCCTAAAGATGATAATGGTTATAAACTTTATTGGGAAAATGGTGCACAAATTATTTCACCATTAGATACACATATTGCTCGTTCAATTGAAAATAATTTAGAACCCTGGAAAGGTAAAGCATGGAATTTAGATATTATTCAACAGAATTCAACATTGATTTCTAATCCAATTGAAAAAGTTTGTTTGTTTTTTTTTTATTTAAAAAACCAAATCTTTATTTTAATATATATTATATTAGATTTGTGATTTATATATAAAAAATGTATCAAATTTATGTTGTTTTCCTGAATTAAATGCAAATACTGAATTAAAATTTGTTTATACACCTGTTCATGGTGTTGGTCAAGTATATGCCGAAAAAGCATTTTCAGCATTTAAATTTCAACCATTTATATCAGTTGATGAACAAAAAAGACCTGATCCTGATTTTCCAACAGTTAAATATCCAAATCCTGAAGAAGGAAAAGAAACACTTGAATGTGCTATAAGAGTAGCTAACAAAACTAATGCAGATTTTATTTTAGCAACTGACCCAGATGCTGATCGATTTGCATTAGCTGAAAGAGATACACAAGGAACAAGTCAAACTGGTTGGAATATTTTATCAGGAAATCAATTAGGAGCTTTATTAGGTAAAGATTTTTCTTCTTTTTTTTTCTTTACCTTTTTATAGAAGTTAAACATAAATTCTTACCAAAGAGAAATAATGATTGTCAATCAACATAGGATTGTTTATTCTATCTAAATCGACTTTTATTCGATAATTTCTTTGTTCGATAATAATAAATGTGAAATAGTCGTTTAGAACTAATCGAATATTAATCAATAATTCCTAGTGATGATTAAGTCGTCGATGGAATATTTTGAAGAAATTTTCTTTAAGTTTTACGGATTTTTATATGTTATTATTGTTAAATCACTTTGAGTAAGTTTTGTAATAAGACTAAAAAATAAAATAAATTATTAAGAGTCAATCAATTATTTTTTTTTGTTTTATCATTTACTTAATATAAGTATTGATTGTTAGTTGAAAATTTGATTTTAATTGATTAAAATGGATAATATTTGAAATCGAATAAAATCTAATAAATTTTAGGTTGGTGGCGTTGGTTTACTTGGCGTAATAAAAATCCAAGAGTTGATGTTAAAGATGTCTATATGCTTTATTCAACTGTTTCATCACATATACTTAAATCAATTGGTGAAGTTGAAGGTTTTAATACAATTGATACATTAACAGGTTTTAAATGGCTTGGAAATAAATCCCATGAATTAATTAATAATAATAAACATGTTATATTTGCTTTTGAAGAAGCTATGTAGGTTATTTATTATTTATTTAATAAAATAATTAAAATGATATTTTGGTTTTTTTTTTAAAATTTTTTAGTGGATTTATGTGTGATCCAACAAATGTTTTAGACAAAGATGGAATATCAGCTATGGCTATTGGAGCTGAAATGTGTACTTATTTAAAATCAATTGGACGAACATTATATCAACAATTAAATAAAATATCATTATTATATGGTTATCATATAAATAATAATTCTTATGTTATTTGTAATAAAACAGATGTTATGCTTAAAATGTTTCACCGTTTGAGACATTATGATCAAAGAAAAGATCAACAAAAACAAGTTTTTATTTTTATTTTTATTTTCGAATAATCTTTTTCTTTTTTTAAATTGTTATAGGAAAAAAGTGAAGCTGATAAACATGAAGTAAAAGAACCTGAAATTCTTGTTCAATATTCAAATAAAATCAAATCTCATTTAAGTGGAGATGAAAATGAAAAATTAAATTCAAAAGATGAAGAATATGTTTATCCAAAAAGTTGTGGAAAATATAATATAACTGGTATACGAGATTTAACTGTTGGAATTGAAGCTGATTTTCGTGGAGAAGGAAAAGATAAAAAACCAATACTTCCTTGTTCATCATCAACACAAATGATAACATTTTATTTTGATAATGGTTCTGAAATAACAATACGTGCAAGTGGAACTGAACCTAAAATAAAATGGTATTCAGAAATAAGAAAAAAACTAAAAGATACACAAACATCAGAAGATAATCCAATGATTGATGATGAATCATTTAGACAAGAAACAAAACAAGAACTTGATCAATTAGTTCAACAAGTTGTTCAACAATTTTTACAACCGGAAAAAAATGGTCTTATTCAAAGAGAAACAACAGCTAAATAACCATTTGTTTTTTTTTTATTTAAACACCATTCCAATTATTATTTTATTCATTTTCAACATCTTATCGATTTTGCAATGTGCTTTTTCATCTATATCAATAAGAATATTTTATGCTTCAATAAAATAGATTATACAAGCAGTTTTAACACAATTCCATTTATCTAGAGATTTTTTATTTAAATTAACAAAAAGATTTTTCTTAAAAATATTTGAGAAGATTCTTATTGATAAATGGATTTATACTATTATTAGACTATTTTAGATAAAATCAATCTCAATATTCATTTATTTAAATAACTTCTTTATCTTTTGCATTTTTAAGATACTTCGAATAATAATCGAAATGTATTTGAAGGATTTTTTTAAAATGTGACATGAACTTGTCAAATATTTCAATGAGATTTAAACATTTATTCCCTCTTAGCTTATTTTTTATCCATTGATAAAAACTATCGTCTTAGGATAATCAACCATTAAATAAAGATGCTTCTTAAACAATCTCTACTATATTCAATAGACTATGAATTTGTCAAAAATTAAATATTTTATCATCGTCCCTTTGCTAGGATATTTCACTTCGAATATTGACATTTTTCAAAAACAATCAAAAAGTTCGGTTTATTTTCAATTTTTTTGTCTTTTTATTTTTGCGGATTGATTATTTTTCTGTTTGAACTGTTTATATATATATATATATGATTTCGAACATTATCTATGTATCAAGAAGCTTCTAACAAATAATTGATTCGAAAACGTAGAAAAGTCATTCTTTCAAACAAATTGGCTCAAAAATGAGCTAATCCTAGTGAATAACATTAACAAAAATTCATTATTTGTATACATTTTTCTTTGAATATAAACTCGTTATTAACAATATTCGCATGATAAAAGCATTTAATTATAACTAATAAT